AAAGGCGTCCATTTCTTCAGGGAAACCCTGATCTCTTTCTCCCTTGTTCGCTCTCTCTGTCCTGTTCTGTCCTTCTTTTCTTCCTTCCCCCTTTCCTCTCTTGCTCCTTCTTTCGTCCTCTTCTCACTCATCTGCTGTCCCTGCTCCCCTCACCCTCCCCTCCCCTCCACTCCTCTACCCACCCGACCAGATACATTCAAAACCCAGTGCCCACCTCTGTCTGCCCTCCTTGGTGAAGGCTGGTAGCCAGCTGGGGAGGACCGTCACCTGTCCCTCGCGGATAACAGCTTAAGGCTTTGGTGCAGATCAGCGCAATCCAAGGGGCCTCCAAACCACAGACCACGGCGCCCTGACACCGTGGCTGGAGGCAATCACACATGCTTTACTGTTTCGGGTGAGGTCAGCAGCAATGGGCAGCTTGCTGAGAAGTAGGGGGGACTGGCTCGCAGCCTGAGAGACTCGACGCCGTGCGACCTGACGAAGTCCCCGGGCTCTCTGGGCCTCTGCCGAGGGCTGACGGCGCCCTGGGGGCCGCTGGGCCGGCTGCCGGAGCCCTGAGAGGCCCGTGGACAGAAACCGTGTGCACACGTGGGGGCGCTCACGGCGGAAGCAGGAGTGTCCCCCGAGGGGACTCACAGCCTGAAGGCGGGTTTGGCTGTTAATCTGAGCTGCAGGGGAGGAAAAAGCTCTCCTCCTCCCTCTCAGGGTCTCTGCGGACCCTAAGAATTAAGGTGACTTAGTAGCACAGGAGAGGAGCGCACGCATTGTACCAAGTCTTTCCCTGTCCCTGGGCCCGGGGTCTTCACAAACCAGGAAGAGCTGCAGAAGCGACCAGAGTAGGAACCCTTATGCCTTTCAGACAAAAAAATGAAAGTTTGTGAAGAAATGACGGACAAAGGGCTGGGGCTGGGGGCGGTCGGCTGGGGCGGTGAGGGGTGTGCGGGGGGCCGAGAGGAGGGAAGGGGGAGGCGGTCGGGCTCCTGCGTCCTCCCGCGCCGGTGCGGGCCGGCCGCCGCGCTCCCGCTCCCGGGAGAGGCTGCGCTCGGCTTGCCGGTGGACGCGGGTGCGTCCCAGCCCTTCCTGCATCTGCTGTGTTTCAAGTGCCTTCTGACAAACCGTCAGTACGCGAAGGTGGCACGTTGTGGGGTCCCACAAGGGGCTGCATGCTCTCCTTGCTTCAAAGCCTGGACGTCAGATTCCAGATCAGAGGAGTTCCCCGTAGGTGAGGGGCCAGGACGCAGACATCCCGGGAAGTGACACGGATGGTTGGATTCTTCCCGTG